AAGAAAAAAGTGGGGATCACATACATCTTGTCTAATGTTTTCACCATGATTCCAAAGCCTTCATTGCTCACAGTATTTATTGGACACGTCTATGGCCAAATAAAACACTATTGCATTCGTTCTTTCAGCGTGTCACTCGGTGCAGGGACGCTGTTCTGTTTGCCTGGATCGATGCTTGACACGGACGGGGATTTAGTGGACCAGCGTTTGGCTTTCATGCAGTCTTTGTATTTGACTTTGTGATGTTCTTTCAGGTGGTTGAATAACTTTGTTGCGTTACCCTGTGGTGCACACAAAGGTTTACAGCATATATTTTACTTTTGGCCAGCATTATTCCAGCTGAATGTAAAAAAAACCTCCAGATAATAGATGTTGATCCCTATATCACTTCCTAATAAGGTAGCTCGCCCCCTGGTGGTTGGCTGATTATTGATTGAGAAGTGTTTGATTTCATATGCAGCAGCCATAATTTATAAATGTTGATATCGCGATGATCATCTTCATTTAGTTTTGGCAGCCCACATCTTGATTATGATTAAAATTCGATTAATTCTGCAAGGCTACTCTTAACTCTACACACAAACAAAACTCTGTCCTATTATGATACCAACTTAGAAAACACATCAGGTTCCTTTTTTACATTGACAAAACTCCAGAGAAAAAATGAAAAAGAGAGAAAAAAAGTTTTTACCCTACAGGGGGACAGAAGCTGCTGACACAGGAATTGCTGCCTCTTTTTTTCCTCCTGTGTCCCTAAGGTTAAATTAAGTGAACAATAAATTCATTACTATTTCTGTATGACAGTTGTTAAAGTAATACAGTTCAGCTCAAGATTCTTTGATATTTTGACAGTGATGGGATATGATCTAGGTTGTAAAGTGTTTGATTTTCTACCATATGCATTCTATATTTCCGTTGAATAGTTTAACCTTATTCTATCACACCATATCATCATCTCTGTAATGTGGCGCTGCGAAAAAGTCAAACTCAATTAAATTTTTTATAATTTTATATACTGTATATATAAATTGAACCCATGGTTCTCATCTATCGTGAGGAAGCAGGGACCAACTTCCTGTTGGATTTTTAAAAAATTACTCAGTGATATTTTGCCTCTTTTCAATATTTATTGAGCGGGGTGTCACATGGTAGCTCTTTACCTATCATATTTGATGACGTTGAATCCGCTGCCCTGCACATTGAAAGACTTCTTGCACATTTCCGTAATAAACTCTGAATCTCCTGTCTTGCCCGATCACTGCTGATACGCAGAGATTGGGTAGAGTAGCCAGAAATTGTACTCAAGTAAAAGTACTGTTACTGCAGAATAATCTTACTCAAGTAGAAGTAAAAAAGTAGTCATCCATATAATTACTTGAGTAAAAGCAAAAAAGTACTGGATGAAAAGAACTACTCAAGTACCGAGTAACTGTTGAGTAACATCTGATGTATTTTCTAAATGAGCATTAAATCAGACAGAAAAAAATTACAGAGGAGAGTTTACCCCATCAAAAAACAACAACAAATTAATTAAAAACTTCTAATAAAAATTCAGGTAAATTCAAGTACTTCAATAAAAATAAAAATCAAATTAAATAATTCAACCATTTTTTGCTATCAAAGATGGCGGTGGACATTGACGGTAGCCGCTAAACTAACCTGTCCTGCCGCCAAGATTGAGTATGGTCATGTAACAAGACTGCGTGGCAAGGGGCTACGTATTATTGGTTAAACACAGTCACGCGCTTTTTAGAATTATAGTAAAGGCAGTAAAAGTCAGGGAGAGCGTAAGGTCAGGCTCAGTAAATAACAGGGGATTAGATAGATGAAAATGGAGTGCACACAGAACAAGAAGACCAATAGAAAGCATAAAGCCAAAGAGAACAGATATGATCACTTTTTTTCCACACCACCAAACCAGAATAAAACAAGCCAGGGGCGCTGATTTATGAGT